ATAAATGGCCATGTATGGTGTGTGTGGAAAAGAGTTGGGTAGATTCGATAGTAATGTGGGAAATGCAGTAGGGTAAGGTTCATGGAGATGTTCAGGTGTCCGTGGTTGCATTGACAAGATAACTGATTTTGAGTGCGGGACGTGTCGAAGTGGTAGGCGAGTCGCGATTGAACGGTTTGAACTGGGTGACGTGAGTTTGGAAGGTGTATCAGGTTTAAATATCTGGGCGATGTACTAAATGATGGTGGAGGATTGCGAGCAAGCGGTGAGGGCAGAGCAAAGCAGCGTGGTGGAATTTTAGAGGGGTTGTCGGGAATGTTGTGCGGAGAAAGTCGACTTCGTTGCGAAGCAGAAGGAGGGTTGTATAAGGCATAGTGTTAGAAGTGTTTTGGGATATGGGCAGAGTGTTTGGGCGCCGAAAGCAGAAGGACCTGAAGATTGGCGTCGACGGAAGGGAGAATGCTTGGATGATGTGGTGTGGTTAATGGATAGGATTCAAAGTGAAGAGATTAGAAAAGAGTTGGTGTTGAGTGTATCGAGAGTTGGGTAAGAGCGCCAGCGTTTGAGGTGGTTTGGGCATGTGGAAAGGAGGAGAAGAAAGTGCATGAAATTGTTAAGAACGGTACATATGAATGTTGATGATGGAGTCCGCAAACGAGGTAGACCGAAAGAATGGATGGATGCTGTGAACAGTGATATGAGGCGATGGGTATAACGAGAGATATGGCAGAGATAGAGACGTTTGGCGTGGAAAATTCATGGACCGGTCAGCCCCTGGCAAAGGGATTTATTACTGGTATATAAATGTTGTTTGTTGTTTGTTTGCTTGTTGAGAGGAACAACTTAATTCCTAAACGTTTTTTCATTTTTGTTGATTTAAAATTGCACATTTATATCCTGTCATCCACAGTTAAATTGATCGTTTATCTCAAATGACATTTTGTAAGAAAAAAGTGTTGTGTTGAAGTTGTATTAAACAATACAATAATATAAAATGACATTTAAAAATACAATTATTTGATATTTTAGGTTTTTTCAATGTACAAAATGACATTTTACAATACACAATTATTTGATATTTTAGGTTTGTTTCAATGTACAATGTTTACAAAATACACAATTGATATTTTAGGTTGTTTTCAATGTACAAATGACATTTTACAAAATACATTATTTGATAATTTTAGGTTGTTTTCAATGTACAAAATGACATTTTACAAAATACACAAATTATTTGATATTTTAGGTTGTTTAATGTTGATGTTTATCAATGTAAATTATTTGTTATTTTGCCTGTTTCATTAAAATTGTCAGTTGACACCAATCAGAGTTTATAATAACTTGTTGTGACAATGTGGCCATGTCATCTATTATATCCTCTGGACATGTTCATTATTCCTTTACTTCCTAGTTGTATGAATAATGCAGAACAATTTTGTCCATTTTTATGAGTTTTTATTGACTATGGTCATAATAAAATCATTAATCTTCCAACATTTGCATACCTCAGTTGGTATTTACACAAAAGCATTTATTTAGTTATTCTACGTATTATCAATATTTTCAGCTTCTTTTGGCTCCTACACCTTACATTATTGGAGTTCCAGCAAGTTTCTTCAAAATAAGACCAAAGATTTCCACAATCCATGTGATCTTTGGATTGTTGATCTTCATTCAAACAAGGTATTCACAGGATTGAACATATTTTGTAAAATCATTATGGACCTCAAACATAAAAGTCATGTTTATAATTTTCACTAATGCAAATGCTAGACAAATGTTGCAAAAAGGAAGTTCTGATCCGGTTTACCAGCATTCTATATCCAGTACATGTAATAAGTGTTTATCCAGCAATATCTGACATCTGATTAACTTTGCCAGACATTTAACAGTTGTGGGGCTTTTATTACCATATTTCTATGTGCGAATTAACGGTGTGCAATGTGCAATTTGCACATCGTTTTTTGTAATCCAGAAACCTAATTGCACATCACTTTTCAAACGGTATGCAAATCAACAGTTTAACGAAAAAACACTGTCGTAAATCATATGAATTTGTTCACGTTTAAAGTAATTTCGGTATTTGCGCTATACAATAATTAACGTAATATCGATTTCATTATGACTCTAAAGAAACATCGTTATTTCTGAACTAATTCGCACATACCATATTTACAATATTACCACATTACAATACTATTTTTTGCATGAAACTGAAATTTGTGTGTTAATATTACTAACTCTCAGCTAATTCAGCTGGGAGGTTTTGCTAGCAAGTGATATACGTACGTAGCTGTAAATGCTTGCTCACTTGCAAAGTATTCATCTATGTTTATAAAATAAACACAATGAAATGCGTGCTGATTGGTCTAAGAGCTGTGTTTGCATTAGCCTGTTCAAAGCATCTGAGCTCAACCAATCAAATCAATCAAAACAATCAATCAGTCAATGAGAATTTGCAAATGATCATGAATACATTTTGAAGGAAAAATTAAAATATTTGTCTTTTTGCATTATTTTATTTATAAAGAAATAAAAGATGTTTTCGTTACATGGCTTATGCAAACCTCAGAGACGTTTGTAAGAACTCTTGAGCATGTGCAACCCTCAACCTTTGGTCTTGGGCTTGCACTGATCTGCCCTTGAGTTCTCCAAAGGTCTCCTCGGTTTCATAAGCCCGTACAAACACAGTAAACATCTTTTATTTCTTAAATACGTAGCTAGAAATGTTTGTTATATTTGTGATGACGTAACTCGTTCTTTTATGAAAATTGTAAAGCATTGGTACGTGATCCCATATGACGTACTGTAAAGCATTATTTCCAGTTTTGAAACTCATCAATAATTTCGCTTTATACGTACGTATACGCATCATTTGATTGTAAACGAAGAATTTACTGATAGGTTTTACTGGTTTTACTGGCTAATACGTAGTGTAGCAATTCACGTTTTAACACATGCGTAATGCAGTAGCTACATATGTTATATCAACGTGCGGCGTATGATGGTTTCCACGTTGTTACGTACACATCAACGATGCGGCGTATGATGGTTTCCACGTTGTACGTACACATCAACGTGCGGCGTATGATGGTTTTCCACGTCGTTACGTACACATAACGGGCGTCGTATGATGGTTTCTACGTTGTTACGTACATCAACGTGCGGCGTATGATGGTTTCCACGTTGTTGTACACATTAACGTGCGGCGTATGATGGTTTCCACGTTGTTACGTACACATCAACGTATGAGGATTCGGACGTTTTTTGTTCAAGTTAAATTGTATTGCTTTAGTCACGTCACTGTTATAAAACATACGTAAAGCTGTTTTCGACGCAATTAGGATTTTCTACGATATCGTATTTATGCGATTTCATAGAACTCCATTGTCTGGTGAAACTATGCATACGTAGGGCTTCAATTGTTTCACTGTGAAGTATCATCTTGCAGACCTAGGAGCTGTTCACATGAGCCCGCGGTTCAGCGGAGCTTTAAATCAATTTTGGTAAATGGAAAGATTAAATACTTCACAACAAAAACTTATTTGAGCAATTTCTCTATACTCTGACTTTTCACATTCACTAAACCTTTAAAACGAAAACAAATAATTTAGCTGGGTTTGAAAATTACGACTAAAATGACGTATGACGCTTGTAAGAAAAGGTTGTAAGTTTGGACTTAAAGTTTCTTTTCTTCAACAAAATCATTTTACGCCTCGCTGAATCCCGGTTACTGGATTCAAGTAAACAGCCCTAGTGAATAAATATGTCGCCTCATGGAAAACAAATCATGTTTGTGATTACGTATACTTTTTATAGATCACTGTTCCATTTCAAGCAGATGAACTACCAGATTTACCTCAGCCTGAAGCGAGTATTCTGAAAAAATCTTAGAAGAGTAATGTCTATTTTGATGAGTTTTTCATTTCTATGTGTGTGTACGGAGCAAGGAGGGTGGGGATTGGGAGGATATAGGATGTTGCTGCCACAAGTTGTGTGAGCTTTATATACATGCACGTGTTTTGACTTAACAATGCTCTTTACTTGTGACCATTTATTTACGTAAGCCAGCACAGGGACACTATTGTGCATATAGTACATTTTGAATGATAACTAATTCTATTTCTTTTACTTGTAGGCCATTGCCTCGCTATCAGTACCACCACAGACAATACCTAACCTAGATAGTCAATTGTCGATGAGTAACAGTTGGTCGGAACAATTATGGAATAAAATCCCGCTTGGTTTGAACAGTAATCATATTGTCTATGGCAATGATGTCGATGCTGTTGATATGCGATCAGAGGCGTGTTTGGCTTCAAAATGTCCTCGGCAAACTTCAGGAACATACTAGAACATTACGACTTTTCCGAGACCTGTTGTTGCCGTTCAGAGATGCATTCTTGTTGTCGCTACCAAGCGTCTCGAAATTTGTGATGAAACTTGTTGAGACACAGGTTGGACATACATATAATCATGTCTACGTACGAAAGCGTTTTATTTGATTATTGCTAAAGCTTGAGATTTTTACACCCGTTTTCACTTGATTGTTTCAATACTTGATGTTAATCCTCTTTCACTTCAATAATCTATATTAACGACAAATTATACATGATTTTCAAGCCATTCTCGCTTTCAGTTGTATACAAACCTTTCTTAGTATTAACTTTGTTTGCTAATATGTGTTGTCATATATTTATTTCTCAAAAACATTTTTCGATTATCCTTTTCATAATTCAGTTTTCAATTCAGGCTTTTACACATTTCATCAGCTAATTTATCTTGTTTCATTTCAGTTGACTAAAGGTTTTAATGATAATTATTTAGATTCTTTATGAGAAGGTCATCGTAGTTTCTTTTAGTTTCTTGTTTTGCTTTTTTTTGTGACAGGTATAAATGATTTTATAATGTTGTCAATAATTGATGAAATTTTTTCTCTTCAAAGAACGTTGAATACCTTGCCGAATGGTTAGTTTATCCAACGAATATTGTCTACAAGAATACAAATGGGTGAGTATTTTCCTTTTGTTTTATAAAGATTTATTATTGATTGCAGTTTTATAAAATATAGGCCAGAAGCTTAAAATTAATACTCGAAAAGCAAAGTCATTTATTTTATGTGAAGTTAAAGTTCTCTTGGTCATAGCGTATTGTTTTTCTTGTAGTCAGTTCAAGGATCTGTTGCATGTTTGTAAATGTCGATCGTCCATGTTGGTATAGTCCTAGAAGGACTGTTTTTGTTATTGTTGACTGACGTTTCGACAACCTTAGCTGTAGTCATCTTCAAGTCAAATAAAGGGTAAACGTCTGGTTTAGCCGTATTTATTATCTGGTTTTACTTCATTTGTATTCACAATGACAATAGACAATTGACACCCACACATTACAACTAAAAACATCACACCTAAATCACACATCACAACTAAAAATAAAAATATTTCACTTCACACTAATTCACAACGACAATGCACATTTCTTGTACACACAATACAATGATGTAAGAACCAGATAACAAATACGGCTAACCTGACGTTTACTCCTCATTTGACTCTGCAAATGACTTTACCGCTAAGGTTGTCGAGCGTCAGTCAACAACAACAAAACAGTCCTTCTCTGGACTATACCAACCTGGACGATCTACATTTACAAACATGTAACGATAACCCCGGGTTCTAACCATTTACTCAAAGACCTGTTTCACGTGGGAAGTCATGTTTTTAATCTCAGTGACTGAAACGCGTGCGATTATTGGTCTAACCTGTGCAAAACACATCTGAGTTCAACCAATCGAATCAATCATAACAATTAATCAGTCAAAGAGAATTTGCAAATCGATCATGAATACATTTTAGAGGAAAAATTTAAACGTTTTCTTTAAATTCGATATATAAATTTTTCATTTCTTAAATAATTTTACAGGACTTCCTCATGCTGGAGTCATAGCTGGCTCTCATTTTGCCATAAAATAGCTATTACCAAGTGGGTTTTTCTGTACTAGCGTTTTCCCTTGCTGGACTCATAGCTGGCTCTCATTTTGTCATAAAATAGCAATTACCAGTCCTTTTTCTGGCTACCCTAGCGTTTGTCCCTCCGTGCTGGACTCATAGCTGGCTCTCATTTACCATAAAATAGCTATTACCAAGTGTTTTTTTTCTGTACCCTAGCGTTTGTTCCTCCGTGCTGGACTCATAGCTGGCTCTCATTTTGCCATAAAATAGCTATTACCAAAGTGTTTTTCTGTACCCTAGCGTTTGTCCCCGTGCTGGACTCATAGCTGGCTCTCATTTTGCCTTAAAATAGCTATTAGAAAGTATATTTTTTTCTGTACCTAAGCGTTTTCCTCCATGCTGGACTCATAGCTGGCTCTCATTTTGCGTTAAAATAGCTATTAGGTGGGTTTTTTCTGTACCTTAGCGTTATGTTTGTATTCATAACTACAACGTATCTATGTCATCTTTAGGTATAACTGACCCACATTTAGTTGGCGATAAACCACGTTGGTACAACTATAAACTGGATAAATTAAACTTCAAAGCCTATGATCCTGAATCCACGTTATGCGATGCGCAATGGAGTAATTATGAAATGGATTTACTCCACGATATGTATGAAAGTGATGATTCCGATAGACTAAGATCGTGTAGTATTGAAGATGACGACAGTAGTAGTTGTTATTCATCCGTCAGCGATACCGTAGCGGAAATGTTTCGTGGGGATATTCATGGCGAAACCCCTCGGGATCATTGAAACCACCGTTTACCCCTCAGATGCAGATTCTCCAACCCTAACTGCATGGCAAATCTTCAAGACGTTACTAACACCTTGATTAATGAAACTAAATATGATGTTTCTCATGTTAATTAGACCATCATTCATGGCCATCTGGCCATTTCTTTATTTTGCATGTTCATTATGCAATGACGTATCCTGTCAGTGACGTCATGTTGACGTATGCTACTTGACCATCATTCATAGCCATCTAATTTCGTTTTGCATGTTCATTATGCAATGACGTATCCTGTCAGTGACGTTTTACGTCATGCTATTACCATCATTATTGATTTATTGCATCGTGCAATGACGTATCATTGGTAACGAGCAGTGGATGATGAACGTAGTAAACTATTTACCAACGTTGATTATTGTAACGAGCAGTGGTGGACCCACAGGGTATGTGTACACGAGGGTCAAACCACTAATATTTTAAGAGATATCTGTACTGTACACTTCCCAGCTTTAAACATTCTTGACTTTTGAATGGGTGGGACTCACCTTAGAAAATTCTAACGATCTAAATTTTCAAAGTATTCTGGTTGGCATACTCTCGAACCTCAATAGAAGTGTTGTCCCTTGAGAACGAGCCTCCCCACCTCACTAGAAATGTCTTGCCTTGAGAAACTGAGTGTCCCCGCCCCCTCCACCTCACTAGAAATGTCGTGCCTTGAGAACAGTCTCCCCCATCTCACTAAAAATGTTGTCCCTTGAGAACGAGTTCCCCACCTCACTAGAAATGTATTACCTTGAGAACGAGTCCCCCCACCTCACTAGAAATGTCATTTGTTGTTTGAAATGTTTTTGTTGTTAGTAAATAGAATCATTTCGCCAGTGGATGTTTTTTTTTATTCTTAAAGTATTAAAAAATTTGAAGTTTAGCTTGTTTGTATTATAATTTTTTCATCGAACGCTGATGTGGTTTCAGACACAACTACACGTACCTTAAAAACTGTCGTAGCTACGACTCATATGTATCATAAAAAAAACACTTTAATCTTTGCTCTGTTTATTATTTGCATTGATTTAATCGGGAGAGCGTAAACTTTTGAAACACCATATTTTAACATATAAATTTAACGTCTTATAGAGTTCTTGAAAAACAATCATCATTTGAGGAGGATGAGGACTGTAATGATGACGAGATATATTCCGTTTCTAACCCACCTTCTCCTCAAAACAATCGTCGTCAATCGTTGGAATCAAGTGACGTAAGCGATCCAGCTGCGAACTCTGACATGTCTGCACAAACTAAATCTGATGGTTAGTGCTTTGTTGCCTTTAGCTCAACTATGTTGCTTAATGTCGAGCACAGATCATTGAACTAAAATACGGAACTCTACCTGAAGCAAATAATTGAAGCCAAATCTTAAATCAGACAGGCGAGATTTTACCCCATACACGCGTGTGAAGTGTTTCGAGATTCTCTCGCGGAGTGAAAATTGATTGACTACACACGCGTGTCTGGGGTAAAATAGCGGATTCAAAAAATTATTAGGGTTTTGTATTACAGGTAGCGTTCCATAAATGGTATAGTTCAATACTACTAATAGTCGATTATTTTTCAAAACTTATCCGAACACTGTGCTGCCTCATGGTATGATTATCTGGTTTTAGTGAATGATGTGAATGACGGTCGATCTGATCGTGAAAGTGTCAATCATTGCAATGACAAGAGTAAGTCTTACTGAATGACAATCGTATTTGGTGAAAGATCTTGCAAAGGAAAACATAGTTTCACCTTGTAGAAATTTTGTGGTACGAATGGCTTTTTTTTTCTTTCTCGTTAACCAGCATTACAAACTCAATGTAAAACTGGCAAAATGGACGCGAAACTTGCGAGTTTACAGGCTAATTCATTATTCAAACCTGTCAGCAGTGAAAATATAACAGGGTAAGTACGATGTTGCTTTTTATAGAACCTCAGATGCTCCAGTCAATAACGTAATCGCCCTTGAAAATGTACCGTTAACTTTACAAATTAGCACAAACCATGCAGTTACAAATTTCCTAATTCTTGTGCAAAAACGACCAGAGCTCAAAATAATGGCCGGTTAACGGACAATGACGGATCAAAATGCTTGCTGCCCTGTCAAGTTTTACTTTACCTGTCCCATATTCATGCCTTACCCCCCAAGCATTATACGTAGCTAGTAAGGCGATGTATGGTAAGGTATGAAGTGCATAGAACGTCTAATACGATGATCTGTCGCCTCCGAAATTTTTTTCCACGTGAATTCGGATGATCTGATGTGTATTAAAAATCTTCAGTCTCACGTTATTTCGGGCAAGTTTTTCGTACGAGTTAGTCACCGGTCAAAAATCGACTTTGACCGAGCTAAAATTAAGTTGACCAAAGAGTATTCGACCGTCATTTTTAGCTCTGAATATCCATATAGTTGTGGTACTCTTAGCAATTCATTTCTCGTGTTTGTATCATTATTTTTTTGTTTGTACCATGGCAGGGAAGATCAACAGTTTCTTTATGACGTCGTGAATTCGGTGCTCAACGCCAACGGTGTTGGAATGTTCAAGAAGAAACGTTTACGAGGTTTGATGATTAAGGAGTTGTGTCGACAAAAAGTCGTCAATTGTTTCCTCCGAGAGATCTCTGATAAAACGAAATCCGACATAGTTTCTGACAAGGTGAGAAAAACTTTGTGTTTCTTTTCCAACTACGCAGATTTACGGGGCTGTCAATGAAAGTGCGACGACGTATAGTTTGCCTAATACTCTTTCTAGTTCTAAGTTCAGTAATGTTTGTTTGTATAAGTAGCTACGTAACTTTGTCAATGAAAGTTAACGTTAGTTTTTCTCGTACTCTTTGAATTCTAAGTTTAGTAATTGTTTGTTTGTATAAAGCTACGTACGTTTGTCAATGAAAGGGCGAATACGAGTTCGTAGTAAAATGAGATTATATTATTTAAGTTATCGAAAGAGTTATTTCCTTAAAATGAACAGTTTTGTTTTACAAAGTAAATTTTGAACCCTAGTATCGTTATGTTTGTAAATGATGATCGTCAGGTTAATAAAGTTTGAGAAGGACTGTTTTGTTTTGTAACTACGTACGACAACGTTAGCGCGTAGTAATCTTTAGAGTCAAAATTTTGACTTGAAGATGAGTACATTATCAAATGAACAACTTTTGTTTACGTTTATTTAAAACTGATACAAACAGGCACAGTGATACATCTACCGTAGTTTGGAAGTAATTGACTCAAGCATTCACAATGTAAACAAATTCGGGTAAATTCATATATAAATATAAATATATATATATATACAATTTGCATTATTACGTCACTTAGTAGTCATACACACGAAAACATTGCAATATGGCCACCTAGCAAAATTGTGTTTAATGCTGTTCTTAGTCACGTTTCTCAGTTAAGAAGTACAACTGAAGGCCTGAGTTCTTTGAGAACTTCGTCGTCAGGAAACTTCTAGCTCAGAAAGTCGCGGCGAATCTACGCTAGACGATTCGATATTCGATATTTAAATCGATTGCCAACTATTTTTCCGAAAGCCACAAAACCTTCTCAAACTAAACCTCGTCTAACTGAAAAAGCAAGAATTAACACGCCTTTTGCTGGAATTACGAAAAGCTTTAAACCACGCAAATTGTTTTCTCATGTAAACTCTCATGCAATTGCAATGTTTTCATTTGCGTGACTATAAAGGGAGGTAATAATGCAAGTTGTCTATTGTCGACGGTTGTTATGCAATTAATGAATGAACATACTTTATTACAGTGTATAAACAAGAATGTGTTAAGAGGAATGTTGGACGTTTTGCAAGGAGTTGTATCCGGCTTGGAAATCAGTTTATCGAATTTTGGATTGGGTGGAGTGACGTCAGCATATCATTTTCTCCGACTTGCTCACACGCATTATTATGGTCGTGAAATTAAAAATTTCAACGCGGCACAAGAGGAAACTCTACGGGTATCACCAACAGAAAGTCTTTCAAACCTATCGGATATCTCCGATGCAACTGTTTCAGCCAATGGCAGTGGAGGTAAGTGAAATATTTGAAATCTTTCGGTGGCGAATGCGTGAAGGTTTTATCTCATTCTAATTAAAAATTTATTTATGCACAAAAAGTGACGTTGTAGCTACGTAGTTAGGATTGGGTATTAAATGTTTTTGTTAATACACCACATCCTATTTTGGATACATCACGTTGTCTTTTTTAGTTAATCTGATTGCTCTCATCTAGAACATTGTTGAGAAAATCATTCATGTATGTAGATTGTTTGCAGATAGAATTTTTTTGCTTAATGTTAATGTGTTTACGACACCAAATTATACCATAATTTTTTTTGAAAGAATGTTATATGCAGTGCAGTGTTTGAAATTAAATGAAGATATGATCTTCGCATTTGACAATTTAAGCAATTGTTTCTGAACCTGAAAGATTCATGGGACTCAACGGGATGAAACAATCATGAAACAATTCATGAAACAATTGCTTAAATTGTCAAGAAATGCGAATTATCTCATTAATATCTTTAGCTTAGTAAAAAATTTAAATGACTTTATGACTTTTTAATAGAATTGTCTTATTTTATTTCTTTTGGAGATATGTAACTTTTCTTCAATATTCAAATGACATCGTTATGACATCACATTGCATAATAAGCATTGGTAAGGATAATTTTGTCCACCGTCAGCAAAAATATCTAATATTGACACATTTACAAAATATATTCATCTGTACATGTTGATGATAAAATTCTAAAATTGTAAAAATTGACGATCTTCAAAATATTGTTATGCTGTATGATTTCGTGACGATGTCATTTGCACAACGAATAAGGATAATGTATGTAGAATAAAGTAAAATAAGTCAATTCTACTAAAGAGGTTACAATGAAACAAATTTGTGATAAAATTTTGAGTCATGAACACTTTACACAATGTTATTACGTTCCTTATTTACTTAAGATCGATCAACGCTGGTAATTAGCGACAGCGAACAGGACAGCGGTCATTGTGATGCCAGTGAGGCTTCCGAGCAGATATTGACGCAAACAAAGCCTCGAAAATACGGGGAAAGAACGAAGAAACATATTTTCAGCGTTTGCAACTATTTCGTACACAAAGTGACTTCACTGGAGTGAATATTCCATCAGACATTAAACACAGAGTGTTAGATCGAAAATATTCAAATATTGAGACGCTATTATTGCGGGTAGCAACGAAGATAGTTTCTCTATGGAGAGTACGATCTCCTTCCGGAAGTCCGCGAATTGCTCATATGCGAATGTCACCGAACTACAACCACGAGCGGTCCCATGTTTACCTAACATTGATTTACTTGAAAGGAAAAGCGATCTCAGTAAGGGTTATAGGTATTTGAACAGTGAGCTCATCGACGTAAGTGACGAAAGCACCGGAAACACGGGAAGGAAATATTTGTTTCAGGGTTTGCTGGGGAAAGATCGACGTTGTGGGATAACATGGACTTTTGGAACATTTGTTTATGGACACTGTGAATGCGGAACGCGATGCCTTGGGAATGAATCAAGATCATGGCGAAATGATTGAAAGGTATAAGGTTTTACTTTAGTTGAATTCAATAGAAAATTATTACAATTCCTCTTTGCGCTATTGACAGTTCCTTAGTTTGCAATTCCTCAGTGACGTCAGTGAAATAATCAACCTGGAAATTTGTTCATGCTATGTAAATTAGAATTTCTCAATAGAAGTATCTGTTTCTTTACAAATGTAGCTATTGTTTTTCCAGTGAGTGAATAATAGAAAATTTACATAGCACGAACAAACTGACTACGCGAATGCAGTTTCTTTGACAAAGTTAGCGTGTTTTAATACATTACCTGTCCAACTTTTCTATCTCTCTTTTTGTGTATTTATCGGTCTGTCTGTACGTGTATATATAAATTTAGAAGTGGATAATACAGGATTGTAGGATTATGTAGGATTAAGAAAGGCTAATGTAGGATGATGTAGGATTAAGAAAGGCTGTTTTACGGTTTCTATATTTCTTAAACTCTACGTGCAAAATTTCAAACTTCTCTCGATAACTCACACTCTCAACACAACTTAGCAAGGTGTGCAAATGCTCAACATATTGAGTGTACACTTGAGTTTAAACTTCGGATTTTAGACAGCTTTCCTCGGTTCATCACACTATCAGAAATGCGGTGCACTCAATATAAATAAAGCTTTAATAGAATATCAATTAATTGCAACTTGCATCAAAAAATAAAACTCGTGCATTGTTTTTCATTACTTGTTTTATGCAATTGTACTTTGCTCCCTTTCAAGATATCGATCTCTGGGCAAACTAGAACAGAAGCGTTTGGAAGAAGACGAGGATAAAGTCCTGGGAACGACTTTGTACAACATCGTTGCGTTCATGATTCAACTTGATGTAGACAAAAGTGATATTAAGAAGAAAGTTCGTCGAATCATCGGTAAAGCTCATATCGGAATGACGCAAAGCCAGTTGATTGGACAGCTTTTGTCAAAATTATCTTACTTGGTAATTATTTTGTTACTTGTCATGCATTTTTATTTCATTAGCGAGGTAATGACATTGATTTAAAAGAGGATTGTAGTCGTTTAATGACGAAGAAAACATTTGTTTTTTACGTAGTGTGATGACAATTGTTTTCTTCGTTTTCAAACATGAGCATTGATCAATTTTTTTCTTTTCTTTTACTAGCGAGGTAATGACATTGATTTAATAGAGGATTGCAGTCGTTTAATGACGAAGAAGACATTTGTTGTCCATTGTGGTGGTGATCTTGTTGGAGACGTTTATTTTATGGAAGTAAGTTAATTTATAAAGTAAGTGGTTTGAACCAGGGGTATCGTTACATGTTTGTAATGATGATCGTCAGGTTAATAAAGTCCTGAGAAGGACTTTTACAAACATGTAAGTTAATTATATAAATTTTGTTGCACTGGCTAGCAGTGCCGTCTATAGAACCGTAAATTTGGAGAATTTTCATTCATACGTATATATTCATTTGTCCCCGATTGATTTCCTTTGAAACTGCATTGATATTTAGATGAAAGAAGTAGGGCACTATTTAATATAAATAAACAACCCTCCCCTCAAAAATTGAACGTTCTATCGACGGCCTTTCCGACTCATGCAACCTTTTCTCGCATATAGAGCATGCTGGATATTTTTGGCCACGCTAGGGAAAAAACTCATCGCTTGCGCTGAATGTGAGCAACTAGCTGAGCCAGTTGAAGAACCAATAGTAATGCGTCCTTTTATCTCGCAAACAAACAGCAATGAAAAGGCTACCGCTACAAACGAATTGATGAGCGAGAACATGTTAGACAAATTTAAGTCATTGACAAACTCGTTGACGCATGGCTAAACTACCACTGAGTGTTTGTTGTAAGCTCGCCAGACTTTAAAATACAAAAAGGCTAAATTGCGTATGAATTAAGAAATCGCAAAGGAATTAAAGCAGACAAGTGACAAAATCTTTGGGATAAAACTATTTCCATGTTGAACGTTAAAACATACTTTATTCTCGACTTTATTCTCATAAAATCATGAAATTTTCGAAAATATTTACTTGAGCGAGTAAAAACATGAATGGGTATTCTTTCATCACCTGTTTGTAATCGATATTTTGCTGTTTGTTCACGACATGAATAGACGCATTACTATTGGTTCTTTAGTTAGTTATACGTGAGCACCTAGCTCACATTTAGCGCAAACGGTGAGTTTTTTATATGTTTGTAATTGATGATCGTCCAGGTTAATAAAGTCCTGAGAAGGACTGTTTTTGTTGTTGTAGACTGACGTTTCGACAACCTTAGCTTTGACTCTGAAGATGACTACCGCTGGGTTGTCGAGCGTCATCTTTTGCTTAGAATTTTATTAACTGAACGATCATCAATAACATACTCCAGGTTCAAACCATTTACTTTATGGTGAGTTTTTTGCCTTGCGTGGCCAAAAATATCAAACCAAACATGCTTGATATGCGAGAAAAGGTTGCACGAGCCTTAAAACTCAGTAAAATTCATCAGCACACAGCGAGTATCGCCTGAGCTAACGGGCATGAGTAACTTTAGCTCAGCTCTCGTGTGCTGCAGAATGAAAAGCGTTTTGAATCAACAACTTTAACTCATTAGCATTCAATTGTAATCAATATTCTGAACGGCTGGGATTGCCTGAATAACTACATTTAACCTCCGTGTAGCTAATCCGTTCTTATTAAGTCTCATACCAATTCAACTCACTAGTCGCCATCTTGATAAAACTCTTATATACTGAAAATTTTTCTGGATGCATGTTCATCCCATATGACATCTTGTACAAACACACTTATGTTGTTTTTTTTTTAACCATGTTTGTCGTGAAATATTGACATACTTGCATTTATTAAGGTTTACGATGATTGTATTTTGTTGCGAGCGCCATCCGGAACCATTATCGAGCGATGGTGGTATGAAAAACTCGTCAATATTACGTACTCGCCCAAGACAAAGATGTTATGTCTGTGGTATAGACAGGGACAAGATACTCAACTAAACAAATTTTGCACTAGAAAGGTCATTATCCATATAGTAGTTATTGCTTGTGCGAAGAAATTCTATCGAAGTTTTACCGAAGATTTTAATTGTGAAGCATTTCAAACGTATCCCATTTGTAAGCGTAAAATATTTTCCGCGTTTGTGCAACGATCTTGTAGATTTTTTCTTCTGACGTCATTGCTGCCATGTTTGTGTATCATTTGAAAAGAAATTTCAAGAAGTTCCTTGGTTTGTTCACAGAATAATGATTATACGGAAGGGTCACTCAGGTGTACAACGTGTCCTCATGTCGGACATTATTCCAGCCGGATAATTAGGATTTCTCAGCTGTTTCCAACCATTAAAATTACATGAGTCAATATTGAATTCAAGAATATTTTGACTTAAGAAATGACTTCGGATCATTTTAAAGGTTTGGAAAAAGTCAAAAACCCTAATCATCTGGCTGGAATAATGGCGGCAACCATGCGCGGCACGACATGCGCGAGGACAAAAACGTCAAAGGTTCCGACACGAGTGACTCTTCTGTATATTCTTATTCTGTGGTTTGGTGGTTTGGTACGCCAAGATGGCCGCTTCCTCCTTTGGCATGTTGATCCCTAAGAAATGAGTAAAAATGGTCTATAGAGCATGTTCAAAGTATTTTTAGAAACTGGGACACAAAATTTCATTTGTCAACTTTAAAAAATGTCTTAAAATGCATTTGCTTTATTTCAAACGGCGTAGCGTCCAGCAGTTTTTATGTTGGATATTTTTAAATGTCTTTTTTATTGCATTTATAGTGCCGAGCTTTGTATTTTTGTATAAAAGCTACGATGCAGAAGGCTGCTGAAAGATTGCGGGGCTTAAAATCAGGTATGAAATTCACAAAAGTTGCTTAAGAAACTAAAAATGCTTGAAAATTTATAATTATTGACTTTATTATTCGTGTGCTGTCGGTGAATTATGATAGCTATGTTTAATATTTTGATCATATAATAAGCAATCATTAGATGAGGTTGAGCATGATATCAAGAATTATTCAGACCAAGTCATTGTTATCTGCCGACCGAAGCTGAGCTTTATAAGGTCGAAATTTGATCTTCCTTGACTTTTTTGCGACTCAAAGTTTGCTTCTTCATGTTTGACCGTGAGATTCTGTGACTGGTTTATTCAGTTCACCGGTGCTGACGTACATTGGAAAGCGCAGCTTTTAACGATGTATTTTGTAATGACATTTGTAGCAAAGTCGAGGAAATTTATTTTTTATTAATTTTGTGTATTACCATTAGCTGCTTGTTATTGATTTAGCACTATAATGCTACAGCGTTAAAAGGCATCGTTCTCTATCGCGTGGACTCAGTCCAAGCACCTCGTGGTCAAACACGAGAGAAGTGTTTTGAGTCATAAAAGTCAAGGGAAGATCTATAAAATCTTTTTATAAAATCTATTGCAAATGTTCTTAAAATCGTCAACTCTATCTAAATTGTTTGTTTCCCTGAGGGTGATATAGAACTTTAAAATACTGTGTAATTTGGTCACCCATAATCTCATCCCACTTCTCTTCTTGCACCAACAGCTCTGTTTACAACTTGTTGAAATTAGTGTCATTAACGTTCAGGAAACTTGTAGAAAGCAGTCGAACGTATACTGTAATGTATCACATGACTCCATAATATATTATCAAATTTATATAGGTCCAACTTGGTGGAAAGTTCCTGCACAAAGTATGGTGTATAATTCACTTGAACTGGAATTGCCTGCTTTCTGGGATGTCGTAGATGTAATTCTCTGTAGCCCTAATAATAATAATAATGGACTCCGTCGATTTCGACGTATGAGGGTTCCACACAAAATGGAACATCCTGGTTACTGAAATTATAGTGAAGGCAGCTGACCTGACTACAATCACTCACGTACCTTTCACGCAACTACAACATGAATATCAGCGTGACACATAATGTGACAAGGCTGCAACATTGCAGATGCAGATACAGTCCATCCGAGGACATAGTGTTCCTCTACCAAATTTCCCTCACATGAAAAGCTTTTGGTCAAAACGGGCAAGGTTTACATACACATTCCAGATGTGCCACGAGCCGTGATTGAACCCGCGCCGTCTGGCTTAGCTCACGCAATTAACCATTCAGCCACCCGCCCTTCCCGTCCCGTCTGTTAGACTATGTTGGGTCGTAATACCGTCGCAAAGTACTGTCTAAATGTTAACGAAACTGCATATTTCTCAATGGTCAAGCTTCTCTCTGGATCGTATACTTTAATTAAAAATTGCATGCTTTCTGATATACGAATCAACGCATGCATTTTCACATTATTGCAAACTCATTTTAAATACTATAAAGGCGTTTATTTTGTTGTTCTGTAATAGTTGTTGTATGTGAGTTGGTAGAAACTCATTGAAGACTATAAGTTTTGCAGGACGTTGAAAGTGGTCAAGTTGGTATTCTCGAAGTTTCTTTGGATGGAATTACTGTTAAATTTAAAGATAAACAGGTCAATTTGTTTATTTATGACATAGTGGTAAATGTAGTTGATATCCCCTCAGTGATCCTCTTTATCATAAGATGCTCGCAATGTATCTACGTACGTATGATTTTATTTTAAGATCCACCTTCATCTGAATCGCATCAAAACTGCTCCACTCAACGAGGAATTCTTGTCATTGATGAATTTGGTTTGTATTCATTGTGTATTCATGAATGTGATATGGACATTGATTAAATTATTGGTTGAACTTTTCTCATCTTCATTGATAATGAACTGTTGACTGAATGAATGCCAGTAAAATACCAACTTCAATAACTATGTTATTGTTGTTTCAATTTACCAGATCCCATAACCCAAGAAGAAATTCAGCACAAATTCAAATCAACCATGGTAGGCTTTTTGAAAGATCATTCTCAATTATTACACTCTTTTGGTTTGTTAGCGAAATAAGGAGGGTAGGGTGAATATTGTTTCGAATAAACAATAATCAGGATTGTTGTAGCATTATTGACTTATAAAAAGGGACAGATGGATGCACAATATATTTAAGTTGTGTGTACATTTATGCCAAATATTTCTATAATAATCTTATTACTAGTCACTCCAAAGTTCCTATGAAAACTCTCTTTTTATTGATTGAGTAAACAAGCAAATAGTCCATAAGGCCTTATTTGGTATTGTTTCTTCCTTGATCACGTGGTTTATATTTAATGTTATTTTGGTTATGTAAGTATTTTCACACAGAAGATATACGTGCAATGAAAATGACCTCATCTTTTCATATTTATAGGCAAGCGATGTCTGTTATGCTGTTCTCTGTCTTTTCTCGTATGCTGCCGCATCGAGAGGTTTACAAGTTCGTTCATGACCGGAAAAGTATTCATCAACTTACATCTTCATACCCAATTCAACCCAATCATACGTAGCTAGTTAACAAAAATGAACATATATATAATGTAGATAATGTAAGCTATCTAGATTTTATTGTTCTTAGTAGTTATTGTTTGTGAAATGTCCACGTGTTTCGAGCATGTATACGTCAATACAAATCACGTGATGGCTTCTCTTGTGTCAAACCCCTCTGTAGTCACCATAGTAGTTTTGCAGCATCTGTCGAACTCATTTTTGAACTTCTTATCTCTGCGCTCAATGCTTTTTCGGCATTAAATTCAAAAAAATGTAAAATCACTTCCTGCATCTTTGGTTTTTTAAGTTGCTCGTAAGAGTTTTTTGTAAAACAAGGGAGCGAACTTTAAATCGTACATTGAAACAATTTAACTTTCTATCGATTAAAAACAAGGTAGTTTTTGCATAAATGCAGTAAAATACTCTCCACAAATACAATGTACGTGAGAAAGATAAATAGTAAAGTAAATCATTTCTACTGGGATTTTGTACGCGTTTTTGTTAAGGCGCTGACCTATACTCTATAGCTACTTACCAAATCCTGAAATTTCAAACATTTGCACGTACGTTACTGCGCATACGTTAATTCCACTTGCGTTATCATTGCGCATGCGTTTGCTCAATGGGAAAGCTTTTTCGTAAATTTTGTATTACCAAAATCTACTGCTGAAAACGGACAAAGAATATTAAATTTATTGAAAGAAAGGGGGTTAAATTCGCACACTTGCAATTATTGTACGTAACCCTGTTTGAGGTCTTCAGAAAATTTTCGATTTTCGTGTAGTGCTGTTGAAGATGTTTGTTTTTGCAATGCCTTGTCTGTTTTTCTGCACCAGATGTAAAATCACAGCGTACGATATTTGTCCATGGAAACACAACTTCTCTTTGAAAACATAAAAACAAATTAATGCTTTCGATAAACACTGAATATTAACGCGATTCTATTGCTAATGCCAACTTTTGATTGTCATTGTTTTAAAGAATTGCTCCATTTTGCTTCGTTTACCAATCTTTGACAAATCTATTCGACTGAGACGTTTTGTTACTTGTTTTGTTTTCTGTTCATTGTTGAAAATAATTTCTTCCCACGCAGAAATGAACCTGCATTGAGAAACAATGAAGAACATGATTATAGTTTACATGGTCATGTCGCGATAAATATATGGCAGACAAAGTGATTTTCAACTTTACTAGCTGTAAACTGGAACTATGAGCTATGAGATATGAAACTAGCTCAATATTTTTGTTGAATTATTTTGTTTTTTCACAACGAAAAGAGTTGCTATAGCTACTTACGCCTTTTGAACGTAAATTAATTTTTTATGTACTTACTTCTGTGTTTGTTTGTTTTTCTTTAAAGATATGAAAAATTTAGCTATTTCAGCATATTTTATAGTATATTAGCTATTTAAACTACTCGTAAAAAATAAGAATGCTTAGGTTGAATTTGTGTGTGTATTCCTTATAGCTTATAATCTTGTTGCTATGCTAACTTCCTGCATAAGTTGATGAAAGTACATTAAATTGTTGTTGATACTTAAAACTGATCACAAATGTATTGCTCCCTTCATCATGAAAGCTTTAAAATTTTAGTTTTTTGACAATAATTTACAAACCTGAAGTTTTCATCACAAGCATGGATATCTACCTCGAGCAACAACATGTTTCATTGACAGCTACGCATTTTTTACATTTTTACAAACTTGTCAAAACCGTGCTTTGTTTCTCATTTTATCAAAGAAACTTTGAAACGTGCTCTGTTTACGTACGTCATTTGCAAGTAAAACAAAAAGCATTAAAAATTCATGTTTCATTTTATGTGAAAGACTTTCAAGAAGGAAAAAAATACAAAGAAATTTTGGACACAAAGAGAAATAATTGATCAAAAGGTTTTATTTGGCCGACAGAAAAGTATAGAGAAACGTGGGTTGAGGAGACTCTAAGTAATTCTAAGTTTACTTTCATGCTTTAGCATAGCTGTTCCACGATTATAATACATGATCTCCTTGCCTCCCAATGTTGAAATTTTACGCACAAACATGTTAACATGATATAAAAGCAACATTGTTTAAAAAGTTAGAGCTATGTACAGTGCAGAAACTAGGTGAAGAAATTTTTATGTAAAAGCAAATGAGTAGTTCTTATGATTTCAATCAATTATTTCATCTTTCCTTCATTTTATATAGAGTTATGATTTCTTCTGGCTGAAAGGTTTAATCTGGTTTAATGATACTGGAAATAGATTGAGTTGAGTTGAGTTAAGATCATTACCTCATGTAAAGCAGTTTATAAAATTAATGCCCTACCTATCCATTTCCTTAAAATGTGATGACAAAACACCGTGACATGTTTGAAATGACCTGGTCTCGCAAACCTGGAGTCACCTGTATTTGTCGAATGCGCTTTCTGTCTTGCATTTATGTGATTCAATTTGTGGCAGCAAATTATTTTGTCTCTTTAACACTTTAACATTAGCTTAGTTTCTAGGGTTTTTTAATTACTTGCAGTACCTAAATAACTCGAAATTTAACGTCAACTCTATAAGATCTGACGAAAGCATAACACAAACTTTACGATCATTTAAATACGCCCATTGGCAGGCATTGAAAGAAACTATAGTCATCTAAAAGGAGACAGGCATGTTTTGTGTTTAATATCAAACACCCTTGTAAAATATTTGCTTTTTTAAAAAAACTTTGTCAATCTTAGACAGCAAAGTTGGTCAAAGAAAATATCAAAGATATCAATCACCATTCCATTTGCATCAGACAAACGTTTCCATGACATTGTAATGTTACAAAGAAACTTTGCTGTGATATTTTCCTTGACTTTATTTAAAGCAGAATGCAATTCATTATCGCTATCTTTATCTGAAAGTGAACATCACAAAGCATTCACCAACTCTGAACGAAACAGCTATGTTTTGGAATGGCGTGTCCCTGGTTTCTGTATTGCTTCTGGTGGTTTACTGTCCTTCGATCATAAGCCATGTACAGCATAATCCACCAATCGCATCAGCTCCTAGAGGAGCTTTATCCAAGCACGATCATTACAGTGATAGTGCCGAACACGATACAGCGTATGATCACGATATATTTCTGGGTCGAGATGAAGCTAAAGTTTGATAATCTCGATCCAGATGTTTGCTAAGGAAAGACTGAGGTGATTGAATACTTCTATTGTTTCAAAAAAAAATACCTGCAGGGAGGTAGATTAAGGCATCAGATAAGAGAAGTCGAAAAAATTTTCCTTGCTTTAAAGTTTGAGCTAAGCTTTGTTGTGTGGCCATTAGAATTAATGAAATAATATAAAAGGTAACAAGTCAATGAAAACTCTTTCTAATTTAGGCAAATTGCAGAGGATTGACGTAAATAAAGATGGAAGGATCACAACTCACGAGATGGAGAACTGGATCGAGAGTAATATGAAACGGTATTCATTAAAGAATACGAACGATCGTTTAAAGGAATGGGACATGAACAAAGACGATCATATCTCATGGAATGAATATGTGGCAAGATATTCCGTTGCAAACAGTCCAAAAAAGAAAAATATACTGGACTCAGAAAAACGACGTTTTGATGTAAGTATCTATAAATGAAGAGTGGGCAATAGGGAAAATCTTGTTGTAGGTATTTAAAACACCTCGAGGAATTTAGTAAGTTTTGTGTTTCCATAACAACGCACGAGTACTCTTGAGATAACGGAAAATGTAAACTACGATTGTGGCTTTGTAACCATGGCAAAATAACTAGTTTTTCGGTTGTTGGCTTACTTTCAATGTATGTATTCACTTGAGAGCTAGGGATGAGAATTTACATTATTTATTTATAGTTATAAATATTTTATGCCGCTCATAATCGATGGTTTATTTAAAGTAGACATTAGAAAACTTAAGTTAGCTTATATTGGCCATTTCAATGGTATCAGCCCGTATTAACAAATCTTTTTGCTTACAAATTTTCGTGCATCACAAGTAAAACGTCATTACGCACACACCTAACTTGAAAATTATAAAGACTTTAGTTGTCTTTGTGTCTTTAACAAGATTTCAATACTATAACGACTATTACCCTCTTCTATTGCATGTTTTTGATGCACCATTGTGGAGTAAATTTTTACTTATTTAAAGATATCTTTTAAATTACAAAGAGATTTTTATACAAATAGACTAGTTTCTATGTGAACGGTTCTCCTTCATGATTCCAAATTTTATTCTTTATGCTCTTAGAAAGCAGACATGAATGGTGATGGTAAGTTAAGCAGGGAAGAACTGATATTTTTCTTGCATCTCGAAGAAAGTTCTTACATGACAGATGTTGTTGCCGAGGTAAGAAGCTGAGGTGAAAAAATAATGAATCTTCGTATCTTTTGAAAACCTTATTTAAAATTATTTAACAGTATATGTCAATGTCATACCAACACCAGTGACTTATATTCATTGTATTGCAATGAATATAGCTAAGCTTTGCCTACCGTGGACAACATCTATAATTTATGCATGCAGTGACGTCTGTAATTTGCTCACAATTGGGAAGTTTATAACTTAGAAGCTTACTAAATATTGCGTGAAATTTAATGAGGCAAGTTTTTTTAATGTTTGCAAAAAATTGGATTGTTTCATTCAAGTTTGAAACTTTAATCAGCAGAGCTACCATTCTCTGAGTTCTCCGCCGATTTACACCATTAAAGAGACAGAACTAACCCTATTATTAACTCCACGTCATTTACAGTGAAAATTTGTTTTATTAAGGAAAACTTAGAGGCTCTGGATACAAACAATGATGGATTGCTATCTCTCAAAGAATTTTCAGGTTGGAAACTATTATATTTGCAGTATCGATCCGTTATTTTTGTTTGTCAAACATAATTATAAAGAATTTATTGAAGCACTTATTACAAAGAGTTTAAAACAATTTGTGTAACGATTTGACTGAAGGTCTGAATCGCTTTTAAATAAGTAATTTTATTTGAGGAAGGAGATAAAAGTTTTAATATTGCTGCCATATTCTAGTAAACAATTTCAATTGAAATTCCGTTCTCGTTAAATCTGTGAATTCGTGAAAAAGGTAAAAAATTTCATGTATTACAATATTTTTATAGGTGGTAGTGCTGGAAGACTTAGTGATTTAGATCTCTATGCTACTGCGGGCGAGTTTGCTCCTCTTGATAAAAATAAAGATGGAAAATTGAGCAAGGTTGGTTAACCGAGTAATGGAAAAACTACAATTTGAAGTGCGTTTTTCAAAGTCCAGTATTACTGCATTTTTGGAAAAGATAGATTAATTGCACTTCAATTTAAGTGCGAATGCTCAATGAGATAGAAAGTCCGTTCAATTGTTATTCCCAAAAGTATGAAGCGTAAAGTATATTGCTAAAAAAAGATTAATAATTTTCAAAGCAACAACTAACTTTTTATTAATTGTTACGGGGTTAAGTGGCAAAACAAAACAATTAACTGTTGGTTATTAGTCAATCACAATTAAGATTGCCACACAGAGGTATGATAATTATAATAACTGTATATGGCTGAGCATGATATCAAGAATTGTTCTAACTGAGGTCTTTTTGTTGAATCTGAGGCGGAAAAAATGTCAAAATAACTGAACCACTACAATAATTTACATAGAAGGCAAGACTTCCTAAATAGTCAAAATCGATGATTTATGTCACGATAATTTATGTCGCGATAATTTATATCACGATAATTTATATCACGATAATTTATGTCACGATAATTTATGTCACGATAATTTATGTCGCGATAATTTATATCACGATCATTTATGTCACGAATTCATGCCGTATTTTGTAAACAGTTATACTGCACTTACGAACATTTAATTCTAGGACGAGTTAGCTCCTTGGGTTCTCCCTAATGACGCATATACGGTCAGTAATGAAGCAATGCATCTTTTGAGCCAAGCTGATTTAAACAGGGTAAGCTCCAAATGTTGATAAATATTTCAGAAAAGTTTATTGAGTATCTGATAGTCATGTGATTAGGATAGGTAAGTGAAAAGCCATTTTTATTAGACCTTCACGTATAAAATAATTAATTGCATGCTTGTGAAATCTTAAGACTTAAAATGCTACGTTGGGGGAAAGAAGGGGGTGCCATTCATATATTCGTACTGTACAATACGTAATCACATTTGATTTCACTGGAAGCTAATACAGTAGCCTCCCCTCCCACCCATGTTAGCTATGCATGTAACTTATAAGATCTACTAGAACTATATAAGTCCATCATAATCTTATATAGATATGTACTCTAGCCTCTTGGCACACTACTGATGTAAGATATACATAACTCTCTAACTGTTTGGTCTCTTATTATAAATTATAATTATATATATATTATATATATATTTATAAATTATCATTATTCTGCAGGATCATGTGTTGACCTACGATGAAGTTGTGAACAGATATGAGGCATTCGTCGGAAGTAAAGCGACGCACTTTGGAAAACTTCTCAAACCAAATCCAGATTTGTAATATTGCCAATATCATGTAAATAATTAATTCCTGGGAAAATGTGTTTGCGTGTAAATATGCACACGAATACCATTCAAACAATAGTAAAAACAAAAAACGCTGTAATAACTATGCGTTTGATGAATAAAACAATGAAAGTGACTAATTTCATATTTAACGTTAGAAAATTTAACGAGTTTGTGGATGTAGATCGTCCAGGTTAGTAGAATCCTAAAAAGGACTGTTGTCGTTGTTGTTGATTGAAGCTTCGACAACCTTAGCGGGAGTCATCTTCAGAGTCAAGAAAGCTGTGAAGATGACTTCTTGAAAGATGACATCTTGCAGAGTTTTCTCGACCCTAAAGCTTAGTTTGTAGAAACGTCAGTCAATATCAACACCAACAGTCCTTCTCAGGACGATCCACATCCACAAACATGTAACAATACTCCCGTGTTCAAACCATTTATTTTGCTGCCAAACTTTCTCCCATGAATCTTTAGTAAATGTTTTCCGCATTTGTCAACATGATCAGAATGAACTGAAGAGTCATTAAATATGATCTCCCTTAAAGGTCGCATGTTCTGGCAGCTGATATTGTTATAACTATTCAAAATTGATAAATAAGCCTTTTCAAAGTATGCACATCCTTTTCCGCAAACTGACAATTAATACAATGCATGGGTCTATCATGTGATAAAACCGTGATTGATACTATAATCAAGCTATAACAGGCTAATTTTTTTCGTCTTTACTGTTGCCAATATGCAGTTGTAGATGGCACCAACGAAAAAATATCCATCCATCCTTGGAAAGCTGCGTATTTTAATTGGTGACTTTCCACTGATAAATTGTTTTCCTCGTCTTTTTCTACGGCCCTGTGAAGCGGAACCTATACATAAGACGTATTTTCGTTTGGTTCTTAAATCTTAAGGTTTGAATAGATAATAACTGACATAATTCTTTCAAATGTCAACTATCTTTTTATTTCCATTTGGAGATTATATGAATGGTTATGTTACCCTACCTCGACTTGGACGCAATCCTTCATGTAAACATGTTGCTCGAATTCATAATGGTGGACTAAATAGATACTATTATTCTGCCAATCTCGACTACTGGTGAAGAATTCTGAGAGCGGGATGCAATCGATGCAGCTAAACAACATCCGCATCAAATAAGAGGTTTTATATGGTTTATAATGAAATTGACTTATTCTTTCACAATGAAATTCCTGTAAAAGCAATCATAAATTGGATGTTATAACTATAATTATCAATTATATATGCAACAATCATAAAAATTGGTAATATATATGCGTTATTTACCAAATTAGAGATCGTAATGTTGCAATTGCAAAATATTGGCTTCACCACACACCACTTTAAGTAATTATATCTATTAATAAAAATTATACTCTACCATAGAGCAAATGTTGCCATAGCAGTTGCCGATTTTTCGTGTTATGTTTTTCTACTGCACTGTTGAGCGGTACCAATATATCATCACCTAACTAATTTCCGTTCCTTGCTAGATAAATCCATAACGACAACCTTGCTGAAAAGTCAACGATTAAGTCTGCGATTTTTCCTTAGTTTTAGACAATTAACTGCTTGAAAACAATTTCGTCTTTTGCTAACTAATGCAAAGGAATTATTACCACTTATATAGATAACTTACTTTACAGTTGTGGCAGAAACGATGCAAAAACAATCAGTAACCTTTGACGTTTCTTTATGATTGCTAGACAAGTACAAAAACTATCATTAATTAACTAACACCCTTGCAATGCCAAAAGATAAAACAACAAAATTATTTTAAGTCTTTTAAATAGCTAAACCACATGGGGTATAACCTTTTGAAATTTGCATGATAACTAAGCCTTATTAAATTACCATTTCAATACATCTTTTTCAGAGCATCCGGTATGGAATGATTGAAAAGGCGTAGCCGTCCGACAGCTCAGAGCATTGCAGAAGAGATCGAACCTGTAAAAGAAACAAACTGAATTTTTAAAACTTTGTAAAAGCGTGGATAATATCACGAAAAGCGAAAAGATGTCTTCAGCCATTTATATTTGCTTGTTGCTGGTTGCTCTTCCTTGTGCTGTTCAAGGTGAGTGAAAAATTTCTACATGAACAATTTACATAAAATTTCATCGTGTGAATATTCCCTTGTACAATAAGCCATGGCATGAACTATCGTTCATGCTCATACTGCTACACATATTTATTGCTAAGCCTTATAGATTACTATTTTTAAGGCTATGTGTCAAGTACTTGCTTGAGATGTATTTGCAATGTTGAGTCTGGCTGCAGTACATCTGTAAGATGTGGAGATAATGGCAGGTCTTGTGGACCATATCAAATTCAATATGGTTATTGGACCGACGCTTCAAGTCCAGGTCGTGGCTATCGACAATGCGTTGATACTTTTTCTTGCGCAGAAACTACCATTCAAAGTAAGTTAAATTCTTTGGTAAAATACTATTGAAAAAATTAGATTGTATGGAGTCAAGCGAGAGAAAGCCAAATCAAAAAATACAAATATCTTGCAACATTGATTTCCGATAAACCACGTGAGAGCTTATTGACATTGTGATCCTAGACTTGTCAGCCGCTTTATTGAAGAATCTTTGTGATAGCATTAAGAATCTTTCGCTGGTTCTTTTCAGTTACTTGAAAATATTTTTGGAAAGTGGGAATTTTCGGCTTTTAGTTTAACAGTTAAGAAAAGGCTTCTGCTGTTATTTTTTTTATTCTCAGAGTAAAACATATATAGCTAATAAGATATTTAATGTTTAAAACAAAGCGTGTTAATGCAATCTATTGATTTCATTAAGATAAATTTTAAGACCTCCTTCCTTACATTCATGATGCGCTTCAACGTCTGCAAATTGAAACTTAATTCTATGCTATTTCTCGCTTCTATGTTATTTCATTTAAGTTTTTAATCGTGATAAATATTCATCACAATCTTAACAAATGAAGGTACAAATTACTAGTAATTATTAATGTTGAAAGGAAAAATTTCATTTCATTTAAAAATTAATTTTTTTATTCGTTACTGGAATTTTAACAACCCTTTTTTACGCAGTGTAGCTTGAGAGCAACAATTAATGGACTAGATGGAATTCAATGACCAAAAAAATTCATGCAGCAAAGGGTTAAATATTTTGTCTGTTTTCGCAGATATATATATATATCAAACAGATTCATTCTTTTAAAAATCTGCGATCTCGAATATCAATTCCAAATGTTAAAGTTCTTAAAACAACTCTTTAAAATATTTTTGTTTACAGATTATATGAACAGATATGCCACCTATGCTCGACTTGGCCACAATCCTACGTGTGAAGATTATGCTCGAATTCATAATGGTGGACCAAATGGATACAGGAGCTCTTCGACCCTTGGCTATTGGCAAAGAATTCGCAACGAAGGATGTACTCGATACAGCTAGAAGTTACTGTGGCAACCCCGATACGAGGACGTTAATATATCATATCATAAAGTTGAGAATTTTTACGAAAAGTTGCTGTAGTTGATTTAGTTGTCCTCATATTTAATTAAATTGCATTAAAAATCAAATTGCATTGAAAGTGAATTGTCGACCACTGTCAAATGATCGAAAATGGTCATGTTTGCTTCTTGTTCACTTTTAACGACTTTTTGAAGATAATGAATCAAAAAATCCGTATATAGCATGCTTTAGCTGTTTATGATAATCAGGTTTTATATATAATATCACCCCTGGACTTAATATTTTTAAGGGCGAAGAGGAATCTAAACCTCATTTCTGAATAAGACTAAACTAAAATGGTAGCTAAGTTTTTATTAAAAACTGTTCTACAAAATATGATCGTGAATCATGGCGATATGCCAGCGCAATATTTTAGTCCTACAAAGCAAATTTTTCACCAAAGTTAATATTCATTTCTGTCGAAAATTAATTCCATTTATTGGTTTCCCAGTGATAAAACCCAAAATTATTTGCATTGTAAAAAACGTGCTGGCTTCGCTTTTCGTGTGTGAAAGTTGCAAATTAATCTCCTCTGCGACCAGACAATATTGACATGCGCCTAAGCCTCTAACCCTCCTGACACCAAAGTTTTGTACATTCAAAATGCATTGCAAGAGATCAAAAATGCCTTATTCTAGATGCCACAAAGGATTAATGAAATTGCAAAAATGGCTGTGTTTTCACTTCGTCTATTTGATTCGTGCATAATGGTGTTTGGTAAATGAATCACAGGAAATTGAAAATACTTGAAAGAAATGGTTTTACATTCTTGACATATTCCAGTTATCGTTTTTAAGGAAACTTTATGACGTGTAAATTGTGGAAAATTGCGGAAAATCTGGAAGTGTGGAATGAAAAGAATATTGTGCTGTGTTTTCCCTTTTATAATACGTATAGCTATGCGTTGTCCTTGGTTATAAAACTAAGACTTAAAGATGACATTTCCAGACTCTTGCTGTGAAAAGGAGATAGATTTCATTATCTCGTTGTCTTCATGGGTAGTACAATGTGGAAGACTGAGAGTGAACTAAAACTTTATATTACAGTTGGTGAAATTGCACTTCTATGGCCGGTTGCACGAAGCCTGGACAACGTTATCTATTGGATAGCTATATTTTTTAAACATTTATTAAGCCTTTGAAAAAGCAAAAATTATAAGATTCGATCTTAGCAATAACTGAAATAATTTATTGTTTTTGAGATCACGTGACTGATTACATTTATTAGGAATGACGAAACTATTTCATTAATGAGGCGGTACACAGCAGCATTCTCAAATCAGCAGTAAAAATTGATATTTTCTTAGCTAAGAAAACAAATACAAATGCAAAATTGACGGTTTGCAATGGAGGGAAATATTTCATTTCGCCAATTCTTGAAGTGCGTTTTCCGAACGTTGCATAGCTGGTTTAAATATCTAAAGCCATTGCTAAAAGTACATCATGGTTTTGACACAAAACTAATCTACAGCAATACATAAGTAGAATTGTGCAAATGATTCTTCTAATTATCTAATTAACATTTCATATATTACGACTCATAGAGTTTACTTTTTTTTGTGTAAATTACACTGTTAAATACACAATCACTTTCATGGGATTTCTGTTGACGTAATTATAAAGTATATTTTATTTGTAAACATGCATA